GTGTAATGCAGTATACCGGGTGTGGCGCGAAACACATTTAAATGCACATAATAAATAAGTAATAGCAGAGAGGAGGAAAACAAGCACGAGGTATTTGATGGATTAATGGCTTTTTCTAAATTAGGTTGGCAAACTCATTATACCCAACTACCGTTTGAATTGTACTCGTACTCGGCATTCTTCGCCGTCTTATTGCCGCGCTATCCTTTTCGGTCCGGCTGATTTACTGATTCCGGCGTCGGCCATTCCTACCAACGAGTTGTATGTGGATTGTGGAGGTTTTCATACAATTCGCTTCCCGCATTACCACTGCTACAGATCTATCTAATATACACAAATATGTTAGCGCATATTTCTCTTTCTTTTTCGCGTCTATCTGGCGTGTATCGCGCCGAGAATGGAGGCACAATTTGACGGCGCTCGAAAATGCCTCGCCGGAGCATTTAATAGTTACTTTCTACTGTATTTATTTACTCAATTATTTATTTATATTTAAAACGTCGCCGGCGAACGCTAAACGAATGCTAAATTGATCCACTTTCACTTTTTACTTCTTTTTCGTCGCAGGCTTGTGGGAGAATTTATGCTCTTGCATCGTTGTTTATTATTTTTGTGAATCAAAAAACAAAACAAACGAAAGTTGTTTGCGCGCGCGCGAATTTCTAGCGCTATCTCAAATGCATCTTGACAAGTAGGACATTAATTAATTAACTGTGTACGTGGATGTAAATTGCATGTAAAATTATGACAACGATTATAATTAAAACCAGTCGTTTGTTACTTTCAGTAGACTCGGACATAAATATGGACATTGTATAATCACGACGAGAATTATAGTTATTTCCAAGAAATTGTTTAATAATTAATAAATAATTAAAAATTAATACACTATGAAATATTTTAATAATTTTTTCTATTTATAAACACTTTTTTGCAATTTGTGTAATTGATTCTTTAATTGTTTATAACTTTATGTACATTCATCAGATTGTTGAAATTTGTACATAGCTGATATAGAATTAAATTTAAAATCAATTCATGGAAGAATTATCATTCCAGCTTAATTAGTTTATGAATAATCGCTCATTAAATGTTAAATCAGCTGTACTTTCGCTGTCCGAACGCTAATATAATTGAAGAATGACAATTCAGTGTTGCAGTTATTTATTAATTACTCGCAAACTAATCAATATACATCATAAATTTTATTAAAAATTTTGTTCATAATAAATTCCGAATCTACAAATACAAATTTATACAATTTTTTAATTTTTTTAAATTGTATTTATTGTTTTTTCCATAAAAAATTTATAACTTTCTATTCAATTATCAGATCAATACAATTTATACATATCTTTTGCAAAATTTAATTCTTAATCAACTCCTGAAAGAATTGTCATTCTACCTCAATTAGTTTATCAATTATCACTCTATAATTAAAACAAACGAACTTGGTTTACAAAGCCCCCTACTGACTACAAAAATAGAAATAACTGTAACAGTTACTCATCAATTACGCAAAAACCAATAAACATGCATAAATAATTGTTGTTATAAATTATTTCTGCATCTATCTATGCAAATATTTATTTTTAACTGTTTTTGTTAATAATTTATTGCAATATTTGTGTACATTTCACAAATTTTTCAAATTATATCTTTAATTGTTTATAATTTTCTCTACAATCATCATATCGAGAAAATATACGCCTCGTTTAACTAGAATTTAATTCCAAATCGATTCCAGGAAGACCCATCATTCTATTTCGATTGGTTTATGAATAATCAATTAATAATTATTACAAATCAACTGTGGTTTCATAGCCCGTACTGTTACTTGAGAATTACAATGTAATACTACAGTTATTCATCAATTACTCGAAAACCAATAAACCGGTTTTAATGATTTCTGCAGAAATCTGTATAGCATTAAATTCTGATTCGTAATTTCTAGATATTATACTGATAACAGTTTTGTGAATAAATTTACAATCCAATTTGTATCAATTTAACGATTTTTCCAAAATTCCAACTTTAATTATCAATAATTCTTTATTAAATTATTTTAACAACAAAAATCTTTCACTGGAACATACACAATTTAATTAACTATTAATTCATGCAGGAGTAAACATTTTTGTTGAGTTAATTACGAAATAAATTACGAAAAGTATAATTAACGAATTATAATGATCTTTGCCTAATAATGTTAGCGTGACTATATTCAAATGAGCATAAATACATTGCAAGCCATTTATTCGCCTTATTTGTCAAAGCAAACTGGTTGCACGCTCGTTAAACTTGGCGTTCAATGCGTTTTTCGCGCGCTAATTTATGAATCGACACCGAGCGCCTCCGAGCACTTGACTTTAATTGTAAATTAGCACTCATTGATTTTTCAGCACGTTTCGTAACATGTATTAACGACGATTTGTTTATTAGCTAGCGCGAATCTGTGAATCTCAATTTAGTTACATGTCGTTGCGAGTAATTTCATTTCGCTTAATTCGCTGACAATTACAACACAAATTGCATCGTTCTGGCAACAAATTTCAAGGTGTTCGTATATTACCTGCACTGATAGTTAGTATGCATTATTATTGCTTTGGATACAGGGCGCGCAGCGAAAACAAATTTACCACTGGCCATTATCTGGCGCAGATGGATTTTCGTTCTCTTTGAAGTGTCTCAATTTTCTTTCCATTTTACATCGCGTTTCATCTTTTTGATGCATGCGGGCGCAATTCCTCTTGACATTTTTCTCTTGATATCGTTTCAAATAAAATTTTCGAGCGAGGGAGAATAATACGCAGAGTAAAAGGTCGCACAGAATCTAATCGCGGAAACATCACACACACACACACAAGCGCATACATGCGGACATTTTACACACATAGAAGTACAATCTCCGGGAATAAAACCAGAAAAGAGTATCGAAAACCGAAAGCAAGCTTCGTGCTCTCTTTCCGCGCGTAAGTCAGCAGGAAACAAAGAAATGAGAAAATCTTTAATGCATGACGCATCCTCGAGTTTATACATCTTTTATGGATGGGAGTAAAATAAAGCCGATTACAAATGCGATAAATATATATGTATCGAATAAATAATATAGCCATCTGATGAAAATGTAAAGTTATAGAATGTAAATGGAAAGGGATGCAGATTATTGTTTTGGATATTTAATTACATATGATAGGAGATATGCCAAAAAAAATCACAAATGAAATGAATCAGCGTATTTCATATTATCTCATCAATAAATGTTTCATTCAGGCTCCATCCCGTGACTAAAGCCTGTGACTAAAATACTTTAGTCACGGTTTTGGCTGTCCGTGTGAAAAGTGTACCACTTGGGAAGTAGAAAAAAGTTATTTTTTTAGCGTTCAGCAACAGTCAACATCAAAAACTAGTGAAGAAAATCATGAAATCTTTCTTAATCCCTACTAATATTATAAATGCGAAAGTCCTGATGTTTGTTACAATTTCACGTAAATACTACTTAACCGATCATCATGAAAATTTGTACACATATTCTTAGTGGTCCCCGAATAGTTATAGGCTACTTTTTATTTAATAAAAAAATTATTTTTTAAATAAAATTAAGAAATTGTTTAGCCAATAATACCTCTGCATCTGGCTATTTGAGTACTTTAACGCCATCTAGCATTCCAGCAATGAAGCTCAAACCTATGTACCTACTATAGTACCATCACACTGTATTACCGACAGCTACGTCAACATCAAATCCAATTGACTACACTATGGAGACTGTACACTATACTTCCATAGACTATACTTTCAGCCATTTTAAACTTCCCGCCATTCTACTTCATTGTTACTTCTTCTGTGACTACAGATGCGTACGGAAGCAACTTCATTATTTTAGATATTCGCGAGCGAAGCCTCGGGTTAAAGCTAGTTGGTAATAAAACATGGAAAAAATAAAGAAAAAAGAGTGGAAATGCAAAATTCAACCGTTTTATTTGCTTTTTTTAAATTTTTTTCTTATTTCTTTTCTTTATTTTTTTATGCAAAAAGGCAACAAGTCGTGATATTGTATAACAATTAAATACATTATGCATTCGTCTGACACGCGTACTAACCTCAAAACTATAACTCGCCGCTCGGTTACTAGTATTTCGACCCTTCTTCTTTTTTTCTTCTTTGAAACCTGTTCCTCTGAAGAACCACATGTTCCACGACAAGGCCACACAGTCATATCGGCTGTTCACAAACTGGTAAACGTTCTTTTGACTTGTAAACCTTTTGCTGTACATTATATACCTTATAAACCTTTGAAGTTTCAAGTTCTTCTAAAAGTTGTGTGTGATACAAATTTAAAATCAGAATAGGTACGGCACATGGCATGTGAACTGTTGTTTTTTTTGGACTTGTGTTAGGAGTGACCTAACATACTACCAAATCGAAATTTAGACCGAAATGCAGTTTGAAGCGTCGCCATATTGAATAATAAAGCCCCAACTGGTGGACGCGAATGAAACAAAACGAAATCGACTAAATGGGAAATAAACTAAAGCGAAATAAAAGGCGCGCATCAGCGCCGAGATAAGATCGACGACAGCACAATGGAAGTTGCCTCTCAGGAGAATGAATTCGAAATTCGCATTGTTCCGAATAAAAATGGATTCTTTTCATGTTGCCAGCCCATCCTTTTTCCTCCTTTCTTCGAATGCACTTTTGCCTCCTTTTTGCCTTGCTTTGCTTCCCTTTCATTGCGCGCTGCATTCATTATTACTAACATTATTGTGTTTTCAGTGTTTTATTTTATATTTTTTTTCTTCAAAACTTTTTTCTTCTCCAACTCGGTTTTGTTTCGTAGTTTTGAAACCCTTTGTCTTGCTGTCTTATTATCCGTTTGGGAGATAATAACGAGAGTATAATAAAAGTCATCACGGCAATGACTGTAGCGTTTCAACTCTATCTCTGTATATGCGCGCATAGATACATAGTGCTCACAAATGTTTCCGTCTTGTTTACAGGTATGTTGCATTCCTGCGTCGAATTCAATTTAGAAAACCTATCTATAGTTGTGGACGTGACTGCGGTCAGGTAAGTGAGCAACAATTTATTGTGGTGACACTCGAACGGAGAAAAATTTGCATTTTTAACGCGTTTTGTGCCTGATATAGGTTGTTAATTAAATAATTCATCTTTTGGCTGGCATTTACAAGGCTCATAAAAATTGATTTATGGTAATTGACACGAATTTTAGATTATATTATAAATGTGAATGTTTGTGTCGCTTTCACGTAAAAATCACTCAACGAATTTTGATATTTGGTATAGAAATATTTATAATCAAGCAAAATAAAATAGGCTACTTTTTGTTGCAAAATATTAACTTTAAGGGTGTAAAATAAGGGATGAAAGTTTATCTGTAGTTTTTATCACATTATAGTTATATAATTCAAACATAGATGGCGTTAAAATGTATTATTAGCATTTTTCATGCCTTTAAATTAAAATTTGATATTTTTATTTATTATAATACTACAATTTAAATTTCTAAACATCAACATCAATCTCAAAACGTAATTTAGTTAATAATATGTGTGTGTTTTGGTCGAGAACTTCCAACTTATAGACATTATGTATTTCCGTTTCGTGTTTTCAAGGAAAATGAACTCATAACTCATCGCCAGAAACGACAGTGCACGAACGTCGCCGTCGTGAAATACGCATTTAACGTTCCAATTTATATTCAAATTTTAATACTCGTTGTGTGTGCCATGCGTGGTTTACGGCCATTTTATTGCGTAATTTGTGTACATAAAAGATTTTCTTGTTGCTGTTGCGTTTGCTTTATTTTTACAACCGCCGCCGCCAACAACACAACTATAACGACTGAATTTTAGCATTTGCAGTACGTGCGGCGCACAAATGAAGTGTGGGGCGGTGATTATATTGAAAAGCACTTGTACTTGAAATATCGAAGTGATCGCCTGCTTGCAATGCAAACATTGTGTGTTGTGTGTATTATAATGGAAAACGTCCGCAGAACAACAAAAAAGCAGCACACATGCGTGTAAAACAAACACGCGTCCTGTCCTCGAAATTCACATTTCTCCCATCTCTCTTCTTGTGTGTGTGTTTGGTGAATATTGTTGAATGTTGTACGATGAATATTACAAGCATTACAATATGCGCCATTGTGTCGTGCGCACTCACACACGTATTACACGGCCACTCATCGTCGGAGAGTGCATAATAAATGCCGGATAATCAAAAGCAAAGAATGAGAAAATGCAAAGTGGTGCACATGTCGCTCCCGGGCGTATGGTATACATCATGTACGAGGGGGATTCCCCCGAAATTTGTTGGCGGATGGCAATCGATGCGATTGGCGTGTCGATTGTTCTCGTTTGATTAATGTTTGCATGACGGAAAGGTTGATTTATAACGAGACGTGATTAATTCTTTTGGTAATTGTGCTTTTAAGTGTATAGAATTGATTAATTTTTGTGTGAGCGCATTTTTTAATATATAAAATATAATCAATTTATGATAACAATATTTTTTTCTGCGGTTTTGAAGCACAAAAAGTGGTTCTTGACATACGGAGGGCAAAGGGCGTAACTAAAGTACTTTAGCCACGGGCTTTAGTCACGGGGTGGAGCTTGCGCTTGCGCATTGGCCTCCAAACAAAGATTTAAGACAAACGAGTTTCCAATTCGCATTTTTTAGATAAACAAGCAAAAACTTGAAAATTTGAAATTTTTAGTGGAAAATCACTTCAATCTTGAGTTTCTCTGTTATTTTATAAACAAAATACATTCATTTATTTTAAATAAACTGTGATATCAACAAAAATATTAAATTGGCAAATATTCTGTAAACATGAGAAAATAATTCCAAATATCATGTAAACATGGACTTTAAGACTTAACATGTTTTCACAAAGCAAGGAAAAACAATTCTTCGTGTTTCAACTAATATTGTTGAGAAACCCGTTGTGAAATTAAAATTCCAGAACATATTCATTGGAAAAAATACTTCAAGAAACAGCAAAACTAATAAAAATGGGTTTTTACTCACAATAAATCTAGGAAAAACAAGAAAATGCGAATGAAAAGCATGTGACACATGAATCAAGTTGACGTCGCCGGCCGACGTTTGCACATAAATATCCAACATTTGTAACTCCCGACGTCGGCCATGTTCCGATGTTCGACGCAGCGCTAGAAAGATTCGGAGCGACATGAAATTATTCAATTTCGTTAATGGAATGTCTAAATAAGGAACGACATGATAATAACTCGTGTCGTGTGCCTCGCGAGCACCAACAACATCCAACTTTATATTTTAACGCTGCCTGCTTTTATTTATTTACTCTCTGCTTTTCTACTTGCGCTGAAAATTACATTATACTATTATTACAGTTTCAGTTCCAACTTTTGTTGATTTGCGCGCGCGCAAGGTCACGAACATATTTAATATCATTTCTATGATTACAACCTTGCTGTGTTGCGCACCTTTTGTCCGTCACCTTTCGCGTTCGATTCAATTCAAATCAAATGCAAATGACAAACAAACACAATACACACACAGCACAACGCTTTCATCTCTAATGGTATTTAAACAAAAAACCGATAAGCTAATATAATAAGCTAAGTACATACGAAAACAAACGCCGAACAGTTATTTAACAAACATTCGTGGCGTGCGCATTCTTTCGGAAACATTTGAATAATTTACAGTTTACTTTTTCCCAACTTGAATTATGTATGCCAACAATTAATTTTAATTTATGCGGTTGGTAGTTGGGTAATATTGCTTCTTCCTGCGATGCATTAAATTCTGTTTTATAATCTGATGTTACTTTTTGTATTTTTAAACAAAGTTTACTTAAAAATACAATCATTTTAGGCGTATTTAACATACAAAAATGATAAATGTGAAAGTATGTATGTTTGAACTCGTTTTCCGCCTAAACTACTCAACAAATTTTTATGAATTTTTGTATAAATATAGATTATACTTTGGAAAAAGACATAGGATACTTTTTATCGCAAAAATTTATCATTAAAGGGGTTAAAATGGGGTTGAAAGTTTATACATGTCATAAATCATAGTTATAATTACGTAATATGAACCTAGATGGCGTTGTATTGAAGATTAATGAAATCCTTTTCTGTATTATAAAATTTATTGTATATTAGCTGATAGTATATCACGAATTGAATTATTTATCACACATGGAAATGTCGTACATAAACGAAGTCATAAATTCAGCCACGGCGCGCCGCACAGATGATGAAAAATGAAATATGAAACAAAAGTTAATTACGTTATTATAAATGACTTTAATAACCTACTTTTCCGAGCGTCCATTAAGTGCGCGCGCGCCGTCTCTGTCGGCCGCGACGTGCTCGAAGCGAATTAGCCGGCTCTGATATTGTGATATTATATATTTTCGAAAAGCAAACCGAATCAAACCGGCTACTACGAATCACTAATGCAACTTGTATAAAAGTTGCCCGAATAGAGTGAATCAACTTTGGCCGAGCAATAAATAACGAAAGTATGAGAACGAAATGAAAGAAGTTACCAGTGGTTCGGGGGGCGAAAAACAAATTTATTTTATAAATCATATCTTTATGGGCCTCGTTTTGTATTGTTTCCATTCATTTCGGCTCGTTTCTTGCGCCGAAACAAAGTTTTATCTTCCGTTTTATTGTCGTCACAATTTGAATAACACTTTATTTATGGCAATGTTTTGTCCGCGCGCGCGCGCGTTATTGCCGCGTAAATCTCTGCGCTCCACATCTGCATAATTCGCGAATTTTCAGCCGCCACCCCCGCCCGCGCGCGCAAGTTTCACCAAAAAGAGTTAAAGTTAATATTTTAATCCAATTTCTTTTGCGCGGTGGAAATTTGTATTTTTAGTCGGTTTACGACCGGCGAAGTTTACGCGTAGCACAGCAGCAGTGTTGCCGCGCGCTGCTTTTTATTTCATTCCATTTGCCGTGGAGAGCTCCGTAGCAGCAATCCGAAAAAGCCTTGACCCAAATACCGCCAAACATATTTTAAATTATTATTAGAAATTTCTCGTTTAGCATTCGGAATGAAATAAATTCTGTAGAAATATATACACGACGTAATAGCGTAAACGCTGTGTGTGATACTTAGTTAATTTATGCTCGTTTACGGAAGTCGCCTAGATTGCTAGCTGCCGCTGGTCGACGACTTCCGGAAAGCGTTTTTCTTGTGTTCATTTCGGGAAGCAATTGAATTCAAATTTCTTATTTTCTTGGGCGTGTGGATAGTTTTTCGTGTGTGTGTTGGTTTTGTTTTCTTGATTCGAATCTTCCTGCCGCCGCCTTCGTCTTTGTGTGTAATTTCCTCGGGGAATTTTCATTAAATTCTTACGTTTCGCAATTCCCGCTTGGCGAATCTCAATTTGTATCGCGCGCTTTTTTCATTCCATGGTGGATTGATTTCGTTTTTACAATTTTTAACTTTATAACAACAACGCCATCTATTTATCATAGCGGAAAATATTGTACTAAACATGGCAATAACGCTATTTGTTCTTTTTGTTGGTTATCAGTTGTTTAGTTGTGTTAAATTGAGTAAAATTAAAACATAAGTAGAAAAATTGATAATAAACTATCAAATGAGTTGTGTTTAGTTGCTGTGGAATGCAAACAGAACTATAAATTGTGAGTTATTATTCAGGAACTGAACCTAACCTCAAAATAGACGCACCTAAAGATTCCGTTAAATAAACAAAGTAAAATGTGATATTCTCGTGCGTTGATGAAAATGAAGTTAATATTAAATCTCTGTGTTATGAAACAAACAAATACAGTTAACCCAATTCCTGTAAACTTTCTTCATCGTGAACGCAATATAATTTAATACATTTTCTTGCCACTAGATGGCTGATATTGTATAATATACGAATTATTTTCTGCAATTTCTGCCTCCAATCGATAATATCGAGAATTGCGGAAGCAAACAATTAAGCGAGGTCAATAATTTCGGCAGTAACGTAAACCCGGGGGCAAAACGAAATTGCATGTAATTAAATGTCTGGGATGCCTTCG